ATATAACTGTATGGCTTGACATTGTCATGTTTCCTAGCTCTTCTCCTTTCCCTCTCTTGATTAGTTAGTCCTTGAGATCCTGCTTTCCTTTAACTTGTATTATATCTTTCTATTTGTATTTCTTCTTTGGAGTTCTTATGTGAGGGCCTATTTCAAAAGTTTTTTTTCAATTAATTGTTTTCTATTCTTTATCATTTAAAAATAGATTTATAATTATACCTGCATCTGTAGGGTTTGTACGAAAGTTCATGGAAAGCCCTCCCAGCTCAGAGCTTGTCATGGAGTTATCAGTATTGGCGAGGAGGGCTCAGGCTCTGGGGCTCACCTGCAGGAGGCCAGGCAGCTTAGACCTTCCCCCAAGCCACACTTGTTTCTCAGAGCATCCTCTGGAGCTGGGAAATGCAGAGCTCAGTCACTTGTAGACAAGGAAAAGTTCCTTGCCCGAGGCCACAGCTGAATTCTGCATTGGTCCACTGATCCGAAAGGAGCGCAGTAGAGAAGAGGGCTCTGGGGCACTGCTACCCCAGGCAGCCCTCCCACCAGGCTGTTTTGGCCACAGACATGGACCTCCCGTTGCCTGATGAAGTTCTATGCTGTGGTGGCTGCTGCGCCTGCTTCCTGGGAGAGCCCCAAGATTGCAGAGAGGATCGAGCAGCGCATCCTCAACTCCAACCCTGTCATGGAAGCCTTTGGTAAGCTCGGCATCTGGCCTCATTTCTTCTGGGGTTTGCTACCTTCTAGAGGAGGCATCAGGGCTTTGTCTCTGGGGTTGAGAATGAGTGCATCCTGCACTGCCTTGGGTCCCCAACTTTCTCCTGGATCCCCTCAGCTTTCTTCTAATAGAGGTGATGTCATTTAGTCACCTCCTTCTTCCAACCTAGCCACTTGTAGCAGCGGTTTGGGCAGGGACCTGGTGGCTCATGTAGTCCAAATTCTTTCCATCCAGTATCCTGAAGGTTCAAAAAAAGATTTGCCCAGGATGTATAGCTCTTCATGTCCACGTTGGGACTACAGCCCAGATGTTGAATCTTTCTGTCTAAAGGCAATAAAGATAACTTTTCACTTTGACCTCCCCCTTCAAATAAGCAAGCCCTGGACAGCTGAGGCTTGCTTATTCCAGTTCCCACCAGGAAGTTCATCTGACTTTCCTTAATTCCACCTGCAAAAGTCTGAGTCCCCATTCCCTAGTCCTGTCCCTTGTGGCAGGGAACCCATCAAAGGGTGACGTGAGAGGGTAGGCAATGTGGCCCCCAGCAGCCATGCACCCTTGTGGCCAGTGAGGACTCTAAACCTGGGGGAGTGGTGTAAACATAGGTGTGATCTGTAGGGAATGCGTGTACGCTGAGGAATAACAACAGCAGTCGCTTTGGGAAGTTCATCCAGCTGCAGCTGAACAGGTAATAGCTGTCCCCCCTGGCCTGCGGGAGGATGGGGGCAGGGACAGGATGTAAAAGCAGCTGGGGCAGTTGCCAGCCATAGCCACCCCTATGGGCAAAACTGCACATGGCATATATGTATATGGCATTCTTCAGAATCAGCGAACTCTAAGGGTGTCTTTAAGCCTAAACCATAGCTACTCTGATCTTAGGGACCTCAGGACAGTGTTCTTGTCACAATCTATATGTGACCTCCTGGCACCTACCCTTGCTATGCAACTTCTAGTTAAATTGCCACTTCTTTGGGCCATAATCCTGATCTTAAAGCTGGGCCCTTGCTCCTGCCATGAAACGAGGTACAAATTTTATGCAAAGAGCTGAACTAGATGACTGGAATGTACCAGAATGTCCCGGTACAGCAAAGGACATTCTGAGCTTGGCGGGAAGTTGCTGGGCAGCAGTCAGGTGCAAAGTCGGTGCTGAATACGTGGCTATAGAATGAACAGGCAGCTCACAGACTCCTGCCTGTGTGCGCCAGGGCCCAGCAGATGACAGGAGCTGCGGTTCAGACCTACCTCTTAGAGAAAACCCGCGTGGCCTGCCAGGCCTCCAGTGAGAGGAACTTCCACATCTTCTACCAGGTCTGTGCCAGGAGTTGACCCAGGTACCTCCATGCCTACCCACGCTCTCTATAGCTACCTTCCAGTGTTGCAGTGTACTACCATTTCTCCCTTCTCTGATGCCAACCCAGCAGATGGAGGTCAGGGGTTCCCTTGCACCTCCCACTCAGCTGCCTGCCCACCTCCCCACAGATCTGCAAAGGAGCCAGTGAGGACGAGAGACTCCAGTGGCACCTTCCCAAGGGAGCTGCCTTCTCCTGGCTGCCCAACCCTGAGAGAACTTTGGAAGGTAGGGAGGCCTGTCCCAGCACCCTGGGTGGTAGGAACATGCACCCACTCTGGCCAGGGCCTGACTCCCTCACCCTTCACAACCCAAGCTAGCCACTGGACTGTGACGTGGGTTCTTTTTCAGAGGATTGCTTTGAGGAGACCCGAGAGGCCATGCTGCATTTGGGCATCGACACTCCCACCCAGAACAACATCTTTAAGGTCAGAAGAAAAGCCACACCACTTAGATTTGGCAGTGCATGGGCAGCCCCTTTCATGGGGTCCTCCCCTGGTCTACTCTGTGCCCCTGTATGCAGAAATGGAGTGTTGGGCTAGACAGGGTCAAAGAGCATGGTGCTGTAGAGCAGAGAACAAGGTTCAGTGACCCATGGAGCCAGAGAGCAGGGAGTTTGGTCAGTTATTATTTTTCTGAGACGGTGAAAACAGAAATAATCCCACCATATTTGCCTAACACTATAAAATTTAAAGATTATGTTCATACCTTTAGCTCAGTTTTTTCAATAGTTCCTTGTGAGTGGTGATTTTTGTTTTATACTTGAACAACAGAGGTAAGTGATCTGTCCAAGGTTAATACCTGAGTGACGGAGTACATTGTTCTAGACATAGTCCAAGTTCCCTCCCTCTGTCCCCTCCCTCCACCAGCATGTCCCTTGGACATGGCACTGACCCAGGTGAGCTGGGCCCCTCTTATCCCCACTAATGGCCTCTCTCTCCCTTACTGCCTTTTCCCCCATTAGTCCTCAACTCCCAGAGCAAGGGGAGAGGGTGGAGAAGCTAGGCAGACAGCAGGGACAGGGAAGTCACTGCAGGAAGACAGGCCATGCAGCAGAAACTGACTCCTTCTTGCCAGAAGCTATTCAGGCAGGGAGGGTACTGTGCCTAGTATGGAGACTGCAGGTACATCCTTGGCCAGGACAGCAGTGGTGAGTGAACACCACCAGCATTCAGGCAGGAATGCTGCCGCAGCCACACTGCCCATTAAGCACTGTCCTGGGGAAGGGGGTGGCCAGAAGGCCAGTCAGATATGGAGGGCCAGCTTCCTGCGCACAGGCAGGAAGGGCCAGATGGGTGCAGGTTCAGGGGCTTCATAGTTACTGGGACAGGAGGGAATTCTTTCGGTAGCCCCTGGGTGTTGGCCATGCAGACTGTTGCGTGCAGAGGCCAAAGAGTGATACCCATGGTACAGAGACCAAGACCACGTTCCTCCCCCCAGGCTAGGCTGTCCTAAGCCACCAAGCTGAGAAAGAGCCACAGGGAACTAGGACCCTGATTTGAGACAGGGTCTTACTATATAGTTAAAGCTGCCCTTGAACTCACTGTGCAGCCCAGGCTGGTCTCAAACTCACTGTAATCCTCCTGCCTCAGCCTCCTAAGTGCTGGGATTACAGGTGTGTGCCACCACACCCAGCCAGCAGATACAGAAATAACCTTGGCCCATACCTAACAGGACTGGTGTCCCCACAGTCTGTTCCTGAGAGAGGGAGCAGAGGAACAGATGGTGAGAGGACATGTGAGGTCAGACTGCCTGGGTTCTTGTCCTGCCTATCTCAGAAAGCACGTGTCCTCCGATTTTGGATTGACCCTCCCCAGTCCCGTCTCTATCATAGGCATCATAGCACGCGTTAAGTGAGAGGATACAGTAACTTGTAGAATTGTGCCTGGCTGAGTTGGGCAATAATCTGGGGCTGATTATTCTGATTTTGTCACGACTCATCAGCAGCACTCAGCAGGTCCCCTCCTGCTTCTCACCATCCTCTCTGTTCCCTCAGGTGCTTGCTGGGCTGCTGCACCTTGGTAACATCTGCTTTGCTGACTCAGAGGATGAAGCCCAGCCCTGCCAACTGAAGGATGATGCCAAGTGTGAGGCAAGGGGCAGGGCACAGGGCGGACCCTGGCGGGAAGGTAGCCAACATTGGCAGGGCCAGGTGGGAGTTTGGAGGGTGGGATTTTTCATCTGCTGCTCTTGATTAAGGTCTGCAACCGTGCCCTGCCCTGGATAATTCACTCCTCCCCGCTCCTCTTGCAGATGAGAAAATGAGAGACAGCATTTATAATGCCATTTGTCCCATATGTAGCAGTGTGGGTTGGGACATAGAAGTCAAAGAGTTCAAATCCCACCTCTGCTACTTACAGAGGCCTTTGGCGAGTCTCTTCACTCTTTAGAGCGCTCTGTCCAGTTGGGCAAGTTGGGTACCACTGTGAGGATGGTTTAGACAGAGGGTGATTGGCCTAAAGAGGATTCACCTCTCCCAGGCTCTGTCAGGACATCAGCCTCACTGCTGGGACTCTATGAGGACATGCTGCTGGAGACAGTGCGGATTCGAACCATCAGGGCAGGCAGGCAGCAGCAGGTGTTCCGGAAGCCCTGCTCCAGAGCAGAGTGTGACACCCGCAGGGACTGTCTGGCCAAAGTGGTTTACGCCCGGTAAGCAGTTACACTGGCTCTGGCCCTGGCCCAGGCTCTCACCTTGTCTGGGGTTGAATCAAACTGCATTAGGTAGTAAATGCAGGCCTAGAGTGGGGGTGCTAGGTAAAGCGGACTGGTTGTTTGGATTCCCAGGGCCAGCAGGGCTTGACTGCCACATTTTTTTTTTCCCTGAACTACACCCTTGGCATCTGTTCCTGAGAACTGAGTAGAGAAGTTGCCACATTCCTGGCCTGGATTCAGCTCATTATCCAAGAACAGGAGTCTGCTTTGACCTTGTAAATAGACAAGGGAAGCCTGCTTAGTGCTGCACTGGTAAAGCAGGCTGCAAAGGTGATCTGGTGCTGTTACAGTGCCAGGTTCAGGCCGCTGAGTGAATAGGCTCTTCTGTCTCCCCTTTCTCTGGTACTTAAGATGTCAGTTACTCACTGGCGAGCTCCCTAAGTGGTGCAGAGTCAGAGACTTGGCCTAAGTCATGGGTGGCACAGTGGGGAAAGCAGGCTACTGTACTTTCCTCATGGGTTATGTGAACACTCTAGCCATATGGGCAAGAGAGGTCTCCCCTCAGGTTCTGAGAAAATTCAGGATGCCTTGTCAGGGGCTCCAGGGGCCCAGAATACTCTAAGACAGTAACAATGAGCCTCTTAGGACTTTGAATGCTACAAATAGCCCACTGCAGCACACGTATTATAGGATCACACCACTACTATTGAGATCAGACATGTTCGTGTATGTGGGGCCTAGGCAGCTTTCTCGGAAGAGGGTCCTCCCCACTTTCATGAGCCAAGAACCTGAGAAACATTGTTGAGTGAAAACACTGAAAATGGTCAGGAACATGTGAGCCCACACTGAACCCATTTCAGCAAGAAACTCAGAGACTAGTGCCTCACATCAGTTTCAGATCAGTGGTTTTTACCTTTGTCTACAAGTAACTGCAAATGATAGCTAATGTGCAGCAGTCAGAGCAAGCTTTTTTTTTTTTTTTTGAACTCAGGCTCATGTGCTTATTCTGCTGAGGTATCTCCCTGGCCCAGAGCAAGCTTCTGACTTGCAGCATTTTACACATGGAAACCATCAGTCATTCTAACAGTGTGTCACTCATTTTTAGTGCCAAATCCCCTGTAGCAGAAAGATAAGCTGTTAGCCAGGTATGATTGTACACACCTGTAATCCCAGCACTCTGGGATGCTGAGGCAGGAGGTTGGAAAATCTGCCTAGCTTGGACAACTTGGTGAGATCCTGTCTCACAATAAAAGAGTTTAAGAGCTACAGGGATGGAGCTCAGTGCAGAAGTTCTGGGTTCAATCTCCTGTATTGGGGGAGAGGGGAAGAAGCTGTTTACTGAACTGAATAAAGTCACAATTACATTTAAAAAAAAAAATCAGTAACCCTGTCCTCTCTGGGTTGGAGGTGGTTTCAGAGCGCAGGATACCACTGTTGACCGTAGGTTACTCAGGGCCCACTTGTGCAGGCTGAGCCTTGATCATCTCTAGGCCCACAGGTGGGCTTTTATAGGAGAGCTTGGTGAACTTTGGTTCTTTATGAACACTACCAAGGCCCGTCTATCCACTCCTTCTGGTCACTATGCTGTTGGGCCATGTGATGGTGCAGACCAATGTCCTGCCTGGTCCAGGACCAGAGCTACGCCTGAGCTCAGTCTTTCTGGGAGGACAGGACAGGTCTGTGTGTCCCTGGGAACATGCATGCCCAAACCTGGATCTGGTGTCGGTCCCGGCAGCATGGAAGGACCAGAAGATGATTTAGCCTGCGACCTGTGGGGTCGACAGCACGGGACTCTCCAGCACATGCACCCTGGCTGAGGAGATCTTACCACCCAGGCTCAGCCTGACCCCTCTCACCAGACTCTTTCTCCCTCAGACTCTTTGACTGGCTGGTGTCGGTGATCAACAGCAGCATCTGTGCAGACCCTGACTCATGGACTGCCTTCATAGGTAGTAGGGGCTCACCCTACCAGGAACCTTCCAGAAAAGAACTGTAGTGGCCTGGACAGGGACCAAGAGCCTTCTTTACTCTCTCTACACTCATCTGCCACCTGCCCACAGTGTCTGGTCAAAATTTCTTTTTTTCTGGCACCCACATCTGACCTGTCCAAGACACTCAGGTGGTGCCTTGTCTTTAAGACCCCATTCTCAGAGATCCAGCACCAATCCCAGGGAAGTAGTAGGGGGTAGGCAAGAGACCTAGATGGAAAGTAAGACTGAAGTCATTATCATTCTAACCCTGGTGAGAAAGTCAGGTAGCAGAAAAATAAGGCTTAGAGGCCCCGAGCAGTTAGCTCATGGAATGGTAGAATTCTAGGTTGGTAAGACCAAGGCCCTCCAAGCTAGACACACACAGGAAGTGTTCCTTAGGACCTGGTTTTCTCACAGGAGAGACCTGTTGGGATCAGAAAACTGACTCAGAAATAGGCCTTAATGCCCTCGGCTGCCCCTTGTACCTCGTTTGGCTCTTCTGCTTGCTTTAAGGGTGTGGGGTGGGCCTGGGTGTGGGAACTGCCCTGCAGGGAGGGCTGAGACAACCGTGGTATGCTCTGCCCACCACTAGGTGTCCTGCTCACCCAGCCTCTTCCCTGGGCTCTTGGAATCACCCTGTCCCCCACCCACGCCCCCTGGTAGCCCTACAATTCCCTGTCATCCTCCCAGGCCTTCTGGATGTATATGGATTTGAGTCATTTTCTGACAACAGTCTGGAACAGTTGTGCATCAACTACGCCAATGAGAAGCTGCAACAGCACTTTGTGGCTCACTATCTCAGGGCTCAGCAGGTGAGGATAGGCGGCCCGCCTCCTGGATCCTCTTCCTCCTCAGCCCCAGCCCCGTTCTCAGAGCTTTTGTCCCTCATTTTATTTTTGTTGAGTAGTAACTACACAAAGAGCAAATGTGTATGCATGTGGTACCGGGGATTGCAGCCAGGGCTGTGCACATACGAAGCAGCCTGGTGTCGCCCAGCTACATCCCCAGCTCAGGGTGATATGTGACATATTCTTGTTCCTTTAATGCTGTTCCAAAGCATGTTGTGGTCCTGAGGCCAGCCGTGGATGGCCCATCTGCATGACAGATTACAGCTTCTTTCTCCCCATTTCCCCCACTCTTGTCCCTAGGAGGAATACACACTTGAAGGCCTGGAGTGGTCATTTGTCAGCTACCAGGACAATCAGACCTGTCTGGATCTCATCGAGGGGAGCCCTATCAGCATCTGTTCCCTCCTCAACGAGGTGGGGAGGGTCAGCTAGGGAACTGAGCACCAGAGTGGAGTTTTAAGCTTTTCTTGGGCCTTGGCGACTTCTGTACTGCTCCTACCCCTGTCCCCCATCTCTCAAATGTGTTTGCTAATCCTTTTGTTCTCCCTCCCAGGGGCACTTCAGTGCCATGGGGGCCAGAGGGTGGAGCAGATGAGGATGGTGCTGAGATGGGACCTCGGTTTTTTTGCATTTGACTGTCCACTCCCACCCCACAGGAATGCCGTCTTAACCGGCCAAGCAGCGCAGCCCAGCTTCAGACACGCATTGAGAATGCCCTGGCCAGCAGCCCGTGCCTGGGCCGCAATAAGCTTAGCCGGGAGCCCAGTTTCATTGTGGTACATTATGCAGGGCCTGTGCGGTACCTCACAGCAGGCCTGGTGGAGAAGAACAAGGTACGTCCTGGCCATGGCCTCTGTTGGCCGAGTCAATGCAGAATGCACATGGTAGTTTCTTATCAGGGGTATTTTTTCTCCTAAACACCCTCCCGAATCCCAGACCAGCATTTTGGGCCCAGCCCTGAAGTCTTAACTCCTCAACAGTGACCCACCTGGGTGCAACCCATGCTAGGCTGGGTCTAGCTATCTGATTGACCAGTGGATCGACTCCTCTGTTGGACTCATGGGTCCTGCCCTTTCTGAGAACAATGTCTTCTGGGGCTTGGCTTTGTACCAGGCTGTGGACTGTCCTGTAAAGCAGTGCACCTTCCCTCAGGTGTTGCCCCTGCCCTTTCTCCATAGGACCCTGTGCCTCCTGAACTGACTGAGCTGCTCCAGCTATCCCAGGACCCCCTTCTCACAGTGCTGTTTCCTACTCAACCTGAAGAGAAGAATCAGGAGGAGTCCCTTAGCCAGAGCAGGGTCCCTGCGTTGACTGTGGTGTCCAAGTTCAAGGTGGGTCTGGTGGTCACTTCAGTCTTCAGTAGTTGTCCTAGGCAGATGAAGATGGTGGTCTCTCAAGGGCTTACCTCACAGAGTTGGACTCGGTAGACAACAAGAAAAAAGCAAAGAGACCAGCAGCAATAGCATGGAAGAAAGCCTAAGGGCCTCTCCTCTTTGCTAATAGGGAGTCACAGGAAAGCAACAGTTCCATGAATCTTTGAGACCAGGCCCTTCCCAAACCCTGCCTTCGGCTGAGCAGACCCATCACTTGTGTCAGGAGTCAGTCTCTCTCTCTTCTCCTCTCCTCTCCTCTCCTCTCCTCTCCTCATCTCTTCCTCCCCTCCCCTCCTCCCCTTCCCTCCCTCCTCCCTTCCCCTCCCCTCCTTTCTCCTCCCCTCCCCTCCCCTCTCCTCTACTCCCTCTCAGATCACATTCAAGACCTTGCATTTGCCAGGCCTCTGCTTATGCTGCTGAGCTATCTCCCTTGCCCAGGAGCATCTCTGGCCATCTCAGCCTTCCTAGGATCTTGACCACTGTCCTTCCATTTCTCATTCAGCTCCTGTAACACTTGGTGTGTTCCTTTGCAGCCATCAAACCTTGATGCTGGCATCACCTTGAGACACCCTGTGAAACTCAGGTTGAGGGGTGCCTGTGGTCCATGAAACTGACTGCCCAGGACAGTCCCTGGCACAGCCTCCAGCCCACAGGGCAGGCTTGATAGTGGCAGCTGTCACCTGCCCCCTGCCTGGGCCGCTGCAGTTACAAGACTTCTAGGAAGACTGCTCTGGGGGGAGGCCAAGATGACCATTCAGTAGCAAATGGTCTGGGATGGCTGCATGCTCAGTGAGCGTCCAGTCATCCCCAGGGCAGTGAAGGTCGTGGTCTCAGGGCTGTAGGGCTGCTGGAGGTACGTGATGCAGTCACCAACTAGGGCCCAGCTCATGGCCCCAAGCAGCTCTAGTTCATCCCTAAGGCCGGGTTTCTCCCATCTCCAGGCCTCCCTGGAACAGCTTCTGCTGGTGCTGCACAGCACCACACCCCACTACGTTCGCTGCATCAAGCCTAACAGTCAGGGCCAGCCACAGACCTTCATCCAGGAGGAGGTAATCACCACTGAGCCCCATCTGACCAAGGCCCTGGGGGGAGAAAGGGAAAGACGCATGCCTGGCATGGAGGGACCACAGGGGTCTCCTGCTCTGGTGGGGCAGCTGGGTGTGGTTGCCCGACCTGTACACTGTGTGGTGGCCTCACTAAGGAGGTAAGTAGGAGCTCCGGTGCATCCTGTTTTCCACTTCAAAGCCATGTGGCCAGGCACAGTGGCGCACGTGTAATCTCAGCATTCTGGAGGCTGAGGAAGAGGGATTGCTATAAGTTTGAGGCCAGCCTGGACTACATAGCAAGATCTCATCTCAGAAAATTGGAACAAAGCCATGTGCCCTGATGAGGGCCTACAGCTGCCAAGAAGACTCAGTGTCTTTTATGATTAGTGGACAGTGTCACCTCAGTCCATGCACAATGTGGACATTTCTGACTGGAGGCATCACTTTTTCTAATCTGTATAGAAGCACACAGGGCACTGAACTCTGAGGGACATAGATATGTGAGTACTGCAAAGTGCTGAAGGGTCCTGCAGCCCCTGGTAGATGTGGCACAGGGGCCTGTAGCCAGGACTGCATGTAAAGACCTGGGCTCAGGTCGTGGAGGAATCTTCGTGAGATGATCTCTGCCCGTCAGCTGTAAGCCACTCTACTGCCTGGGAAATGTAAATTATCAAAACCAGAAATGTGCTTGCGCTACACGGGGGGCTGTGAGTCTGCAGCGCTCAGCTGGGTCAAAGTTCGGGCATGGGGCCGGGGAGATGACTCAGTGCAATAAGTGCTTCCCTGGCAAGCGCAAGGGCTTAAGTTCAATCCCTGGTTCCGCCAAAAAAAAAAAAAAAAGGAAGTTGGGCAACAGGCAGGGGGTCTTAGGACCACTGGGAGAGGTTTTATTCAAGGTCACTTGATTTCTTGCTGGCCCAAGATTCCCCATCAGCCAACACAGGAGAGGCCAGGCCTGAAAAGGGCAGAAAGGTATTTCTGGCCTACAGGTGCTACCCTGACTCCCTCCCTTGCAGGTCCTGAGCCAGCTGGAGGCCTGTGGCCTCATGGAGACCATCCACATCAGTGCTGCTGGCTTCCCCATCCGGTGAGTAACCACATCACTGCAGGGGGCAGGCCCACTGGAGGGTGTAGCTCAAGACTCAGGCAGACAAGAGCCTGCCCAACCCAGACTGGCCTTGGGATAGGGGCGCAGAGAAAGAGACAGTCTGTAGAGGTCAGGCTGGGGCTCAAAGAGCAGCACCTGTCTACTTCTCCACGCACGCACTGCGTGCTGCTGTGTCCAGTAGTTTGTGTAACGCATTAGTAAATAAATGGAGGTGAGTTTCTGAGCTCTTGCGGCTCACATTCCTGTGGAATCAAGAAAATAAGTGCCCACTGTGATCCCAGCACTCTAGAAGGCTTAGGCAGGATTCCAAGTTTGATTTAGTGAGTTCTTGTCTCAAAAAATGCTGTCTATGTAGCTCAGTGCAAAGGCTCTGAGGTCAATCCCCAGTACAGAAAAGAAAAATAAGTGTAACTGGAGCCAACAAAAAAAGAAAAGTGCTGGGGCTGGTGAGATGGCTCGGTGGTCTAAGGCACCTACTTAGAACAAACTTAGTAAAGCACAGGGACCGCAGTTCAATCCCCCAGCACCACATGCCAGCCAGCCCCGCCCCCTGGTGGGCTGAGCTGGCCCACACACACACACACACACACACACACAAATAAGTAAGTAATTTAAAAAAGAAAAGTGCTATGAGATAGATCAACAGGGCCAGGGCTCCTTGGCTGGCCAGGAAAGGCACCCTCCAGGCAGCTCGGGGTGATGGAGCAGGAAGGAGCCAGCCTCTGAAGATCTGGAGCAGTGGGGAGTAGTCCAGACCAAGGGGACTGCCACCAGAGCTGCCAGGTCAGGAACTGAGAGATGGTAATGGGCCTGCACCACACACCAGCAGTGGGAAGGGAGGTGGGCAGGAGGCAGACTGCAGGGACTCGTAGGGCACGAGAGCTTGGCAGTTTGTCCTGAGTGCAAGAAGCTGCTCGGTGTTATAAGGAGGGAGTGGTGTGACCTTACTTGTGCTCTCAGGAGATCCCTGTGCTGCTGTGGGATGTTCACCACAGGGTCAGGACAGAAGTGAGGCAGTGAGCAAGGAGGCTGCTGCAGGTATACAGGGAGCATGGCGGGGGGTGGGGGGGCAGTGGGAAGAGCAACGCTGGACTCACTGCTGAGAAGACGGCAGCTGTCAGGCAGGGGACAGTCCCCTTCCAGAGCAGCTTCCTAACAGGTGGATGATGTGAAGAAGTTCACCGGAACACTTGCTTGCTCTGGTTAAGGCATGGGGGGAAGGTGGGCGAAGAAGCAAGGTGGCAGTCAGGAGCTCTCTCATGGCCCTGTCAGTTTTGAAAAACTGTGAGGCAAGGCTCAGCAGAGCTTTAAGAACTAGAGGGCACGTGAAGGTCCTTCCTCAGTGGGCATTAGCATGAGGAGCAAGGAGCAAGTCACTTGGAGAAGAGGGAGTGGAGGGCATTTCCTGAGGAATGTTACATACACAGAGGAAGGAAGCTGCGAGTTGGGGAGGTGGTCACAGAGATATGGTGGGTGTCCAGGAGGCTGAGAGAATGATCTACAAGGAGATGGGCAGCACTGGATCGGGCAGCTGCTGGCTGTTGACTGACAGGAACCACGACAGCGCAGTGGTGGAGACAGAAGCCAAACTCAGTAAGCTCAGAAGCCACTAGGAGGAAGTGCAGGTGCTGGGTGTCACAGAGCACTGCTGCTGTGAGACAGAAATCAGGAGGAAGCAGAGGAAGGTGTGGGCTCAGGTCCGTGTGTTTGCATGGCATCTGGTTGTCGGAGAAGAGGCCACAGATCCCATTAAATGAGTCAGACACTGTTCAGTAGTCACAGGCAGAGGAGCAGACACGATTTAAAGTGGCTTTCCCAGACTTTGCCTTGAGTGCCCCTAGTAATCACTCCAGAACTCATCCCATCCATTCAGCAAGGCCAGCCAGGGCAGCACCTCACTGGGTTCCTCAGATTAAATAGAAAACCTTGTAAGCCCCAGACCATGTCCCAGCTCCCAGGTGAAGTTGTTCTCTTCCACCTGCTTTGGCTTCCAGGGTCTCTCACCAGAACTTCATGGAGCGGTATGCATTACTGAGAAGGCTCCGTTCTCCCACACCGTCTGGACCCCATAGCCTGCCTGCTGCCAGAGGGCACTCTGGTGAGTGTACCCATGTGCTAGTCATTTGTTCACCCACAGGTTCCTGCTGCCTCCTCCGTGCCTGCTCAGGGCTGAGGCTTCAGAGATGAATACTGCATAGCCCTGCCTTTATGGTTCTTGGCTTCATGGGAGAACGGGCTTGAAAGGCAGAGCTATGAACAGGACGCTGGGTCAGCCAGGTGGGAAGCCAGGTGGAAGGGTTCCTCAGGACAGGTAGGCTCTGTGATCAGAGGCCTGGAGGCCCGCAGCTGTGTGAGTGTGAGCAGCTCCAGGTCACACGGTGGCTCTTCAGGACAGAGTGGTGCCAGGTGGGGATGGCCAAAGAACCTGAGCAGATGAGGGCCACTGCAGAGGCAGAAACCAGTGCCTCCACCAGCCTTATATTTTCTGGAGACCACCCCGGGGCCCTATCTGGAGGGTCTTGGGAATAAGGCCATAGAGCTGTACATGTAGAAAGAAGCCACAGTCTGGAAATGTATGGAAGAAATCAGCCAGCTGGATGTAGGAGAGAAAACTGATTCAGCCCTGGCACTCCAGAAAAAGCACAAGGAAAAGAGGCCTGGGGAGGTGGAAGAACTTGCCCGCAGGACCTGAGCTCTAGGTCTCATCCCAAGAATTGACTGCGAGGACTCAGGCAGCTGTGACCTCAGGGGGTTCACAAGGCCCCTGCCACCCCCAGCTACTCTCCCACCCACCGAGTGTGGCCCAGGGCCCACCAGGACCTCTGGAGACAGTCCTGCTTTGTTTTGCTCCCTCCTGGGCAGTGTGTCACTTTCCTTTCACTCCTTTCTTTTTCCTCTCCATGGTTTGCTCTCCTGTTCTGTGTTTCTTGCCAAGTCCCTCTGGGCCCTGGTCGATTTTGCAGCTGTCTGATCTCCAGCATCTGCTTAAGCTGCCTCTGTCTCAAGAGGTGCTATGCGGCTAAGGAGGTCAGAGCCCTCAGGTAAATCCTCAACACTGTTGTGAACCCCACAGCACCCAGGAGGGTGGGAGTGGGACTCACTGGGCCTTCACAAGACTCTACTTTTTTTCTCTTTTCTCATAGATGTCAGTGAGGGGTAGGTGCTGGCCAGGTAGCCTGTCCAGAGACCAGTGGCAGAGAGGGCTGTAGGATGCTGGGGCAGCAAGAGGAGAGGGAGGCTTGCCAGACTTCATGGTAGCCAGGGCTCTTCGAGACAACAGAGGGGTTGCTTCTGGCCTCTGCCCCCAAAAAAGAGGAAGAAAAAAATGGCTAGAGGCAAGAACAGGAAAGAGGCTTAGAGAGTGCTAAGGAGGTCAAAGTCCATTTCTCGGGCTACACATACATGTGACAACCAAGCATTGATGTGGCCTCTGCTGCCCTTTCCCCAGGATGGCTTCCATGCACTGAGGAGGCTACGTTGCAGACTGTCCTGCAGGACCTTCTCAGTGCTCTGCCTGCGCTAACTCAGACGGCAGCCATACCTGCTGACCCACTGCACTGCGGCAAGACCAAGGTGTTCATGACGGAGTCCACGGTAAGCAGGCTTCGGGAATGTGGTCACGGAAGCCAGCCGCAGGCTCTCAGTGGGGCAGCAGAAGCAACAGCTGAAGACCTCAGTGGGTGCCCCTCCCTTCTCCCAGCTGGAGCTCCTGGAAAGAGGGCGTGCCCAGGTGCTGGAGCAGTGTGCCCGCTGCATTCAGGGTGGCTGGAGGCAACACCAGCACCGAAAGCAGGAGAGGCAGAGGCAGGCGGCCATCCTCATTCAGGCAGGTAGGTGGAGTGGGGCTGCCTGTCCTGGGTCGGGCACAGGACACAACCTGATGTTGGCTTCCTTTGAAGCTTTGTCTTTTTAAATAGCCATCCACTGAAGATGCGAAGATGTGCCCCAGCCTCAGGTAGATGGCACATCCTACGGTGCCCGCGATTTCAGTTCCCTGGCATTTTTCACAGCCTCTCCAGTTCCATGGAAACCAATTACCCCAAAAACAAGGGTTCCTTGCAGGCAGAAGTTACAAAGGTGACCTCACTTCACCTTTCTCAGTCCTACATGGCAGTTGTGTGCCAGTGTGCAGCTCCCTCACCCCAAACACACAAGCTTATTTTTTCCTTTTTCTTGAGACAGGTCTAGCTATGTAGTTCAGGCTACCCTGAACACATTATGTAGCCCAGGCTGCCTCAGCCTCCTGAGTGCTGGGATTACAGGCATACATCACCATGTCTGGCAGGAGCTTTTTAAACAGAAAAGTAATTATCTTTTGTGATGCTTAAGATGAACCCCAGTGGTTTGCGTATACTAGGCGAGTTCTCTTACTGCTAAGCTACAGCCCTAGCCCAAGATCAATCATTTTTAGAAGTAAAGACAACTTAGACCCCTCCCATTCCTGGCATTGTCCAGGACTGAGCCTGCAGTTAGAGGTGACTCTGCTGAGTACTCACCAAAGGCCCAGGCACTCCTTCAATGTGCAGAGATCTCCAAATGTGTGGGCAGCAGGAGGAGTGTTTGCTTAAAGCCTGTTTTACCTCATGTGTTGACTTTAGCACCTGACTTCGTTGTAACATGCAGTAGCTGTTTCAGTGGGAAAAACATTTCACAGTAACTTGTGCTGGCAGCCAGGGTGCCAACAGCTCTAATGACCATTTTATTTCTTTGCTGTTTCTGGCTCAATCTTTTAGCTATTCGTTCCTGGTTAACTCGGAAACACATCTGGAGGCTGCACTCAGCTGCCACAGTCATTAAGCGCACCTGGCAGAAGTGGAGAGTGAGTATGGTTCAAGCAGGCGG